TATACTATACTATACTATACTATACTATACTAAACTATACTATACTATACTATACTATACTATACTATACTATACTATACTATACTACTACTACTACTACTACTACTACTACTACTACTACTACTACTACTACTACGACTATTACTACTCGTAACTACGAGTACGACCACCCCATCCTTCCTCCTCCTCCCCTTCTTTAAACCTCCCTGTCCTCCCTGATCTCCTGCCCCCTCCCTTTCTTCTCACCAAGAGCGTCGTCGCCTGCAGTTTCTTTTTCGGGCTCTTCATGGCCATGGCGGCCTGCATCCTATGGTCCGTTGGGTCCGCCAGCAGCCTGGGCAGGCGAAGGGGGGGTGGACGAGGGGCAGCGCCAAAGGCACAAGGGGGGCGGGGGGGGGGGGGGACGGCGAGGGGAGACGGCTACGGCAAAGTGGAGAAGGCAGGCGAAAGGGACCAGCGCTCGGCGTCGAGGTGGGTTCTGAACGATGTCTAAGCGCCCGACGATCGATTACGGCCGGGTGTTCCGTGGCACCAGCCCTCATTGTGGCAGGATGCGCCGTGGCTCCTTTCGTCAGCATAATGCAGCAACTGTATACACAGCGCTGGCGACCAGTATTCCGAACAGCAGGCGCACTGCAAATCCGTTCCTTCTCAAGGGCGGCTTCGACGCACAACGGCGACAGACAGCAATAGAGAGCTGCAAAACACCATAGACCCGCTCCTTCTCAAAGGAATGTTTCAGGATCGGCTGATTCTGCCACGAAGCCTTCGTGGCTTCTGGCGTTTCGGGAATTGTGCTCTGGTACAAGGGGCGCATCAGCATGAGGCGAACGTCTGTGCGAGCGAGTGCGCCGTGTTCAATTCTCATCTTGACCACGCCGCCACTGTCCCCCCAACATTTTTGGTCTGCGGGTCGAGAGCGAGCCTCTTCCGGTTAAGAGCTAAGCGGGCCGCGCAAAGCACGAATCCCACCAGCCCTCTGGGCGTAGGTGGTCTAGAACAGATCCTCTTCCACCCCTCCCTCTTCCCCCTTGGGGAGGGGTTTACCCCTCCCCCTACCCCCTCCCCTGGACCTGGACGGGGGGGGCCGCGGGTAGTTAGAGCGTCCAAGATGGCCCAAGACGGCTCCAAGAGCGCCTCAGAGAACCCAAGATGAGCTCCAAGATGGCTCAAGATAGCGCAAGATCGCTCACGATGGCTCCTAAGATGGTTCCAAGAAGCCCAAAGACGGCCCCAAGATAACTCCAAGTGGCCAAACAGCTCCCCAAGGAGGCCCCGAAGAGGCCAAAATCGTCCCAAAACCTAAGGAAAATCAATGATTTTTGCTTTCTCGCCTTTTCGCTTCCGATGGCCATCCGAGGCCTGGAGATGGCTCCAAGATGGCCCAAGAGGGCCCCAAGAGAGCCCCAAAAGAGCCCCAAGACGGCCCCAAGAGCGCCCAAGAGCACTCCAAGAGCGTTCCAAGAGGGGTCCAAGAGGCGATTTTAGGGGCTTCCGAGGGGGGGCGCTAATTAAACCCCCCCTCTTGTTTGATCGACTCCCTCCAAGATGGCCCCAAAAGCGCCCCGAAGGCTCCCCAGAGCGCCTCAAGAGGGTCCCAAGAGGCGCCCAAGATGCCCCAAGGCGCCCAAAAAGCCCTCCAAGAGGCCCTCAAAAGACCCCCAAGAAGCTCCTTCCCCTCCTCCTCCTCCTCCTCCGATTCTTCCTCCTTCTCCGTCCTCCTCCTCCTCCTCCTCCTCCTCCTCTTCCCCCTCCTCCTCCTCCTCCTCCTCCGACGACGACGACGACGACGACGACTCCTCTTCCATCCTCCCCCTCTCGGGGTCTGTGACAGCTTCCCCCGCCCTTTGTTATTCTGCATGCTCCCCGACTTCCCTGATCACCTCAACTCCCCTGAGCATCGTTTCTGGATGGGCTGGTGGGGATACGCGAAGCGTCAACAATTAGGGAGACAGGGCGCGGGCGGGCGGGGCCTCAGGCGGCCGGAGGGCGCGGGGTGCAGGCGGTGCTGAAGAGCTTGCATAGGAAAAGGTACACCTTGGACAGGAGCCGGAGGCAAAGTCCCGGAGGGTGAGCGGTGTGGCGCTGTCCCCCCAATACGAGAAACTGATAAACGTGCTAGATGATTGCGCTGTTGGTCTCCGAGCCGCACGGGGGCCAGATTCTTTTTAAGCGGTATCCCCACCAGGACTCGGGCGAGGCGGTTTCGGCCTGCTGCGCGTGCGGTCCTCTGTCGGCCTGTACCTCCACGAACTGTTCGTTTTTGCACGGTCTTAATATTCCCGGACCCCTGTTTCCGCGGGACCTCCGCGGTCTTCTCGCCCTCTTCCTTGGTCTTGTTCGGCTGGTTCGAGCTGGCCACAGCGGATATCCCAGCACAGACTGGAAGGCCCTCTAGGGAGGCCCTGGCCCGCCGTGCCCTTGAAAAGGAGGTACTTGGTAAGAGGACGATGCTGTCACCCTTCGCCTGGTTGTGTTCCCCGGCGCCATTTCTCGAAGATCGCCTGCAGCGGCGCCTCTATCGCCACGATCGTTGGCGCCGCCACGACGCCGACCTCCGGCATTTCGATTTGCGCACTCCAGTGCGCGTTGGTCGCACGGGCCCCAGAGAAAACTCCTCGTCCTCGATCTTCTCGACCTCCGTCTCCCCCATGCCTCCCTGCACGCGCTGCTCCTGCTCTTGGGTCGCCCCGCCCTAGCTCCCGAAATTATAATCTCCGAAACCCATTTATCGACATGCGCGCGTGCGCCCCCAGACTCCAAGACGGCGGTGCCGAGCGCGGACCCCTTCGTTTCATTCTCGCCGTGCCTGCCCTTTTCGGGGGCCTCGCGCCCACGTCCACAACGGCCGTGCCGTAGCCGTCCACACGCACGAGGTCGAACGCATGCGGCAGCCCGAAGGACTCCTTCTCCTTCGCGTCGGCCTCCTGTCCGTCGGCACCCTTGCCGTATTGCGCCCCGAGGGCCGTGAGCAGCAGGTCCACCGTCGGCTCGTCCACCTCCGCAGGTGCCTGCTCGGCCGTCGTCGCGTTTGCGGAGGTGCCTTTGCGCGGTCAGCGTGAATTCGAAGACTTCAGTGGCGGCCAACCGCGTTGCCAGAGTGTCCCGATGCAGGGGTCGTTCGGCCGTTCGCGCCAGGGCGCCCAGCTCCACAAGTGATAACGTTTGCATGCAGCTGTCCGCGGAGACCCTCGAGCACGGACGCCGCGATCCCCGCAGGCGCCCGCCGCATCTTCGCCTGGGCAGGCCGGGCGGCATGCCCAGCCCAATGGGCCCCGACACCGAGCTCCTCGGCCTCCGCTGCTAGCTCGCTCAGGCCTGGGAACTTGGCCGCGCCCACCACCGCCATGATCGAGGCCTCGTGGCCCCCTACAGCCAGACCCAAGCTATAATGACATCGCCCAAAAACATGAGACCCTCCGCCGGCCAACATACACACACACACACTTACTTTTTCGTCGGCGGCGAAGCGGCGAACTCCGCTCCAGCGAGAAGCTAGATAAGGGCACGAACTAGCGAGCGCGCACGAAACACCCAACGGCACCCTCCCCTGGATGCACGAGAGCAGCCAGCAGACACGAAGACCACTGGGGCGCCCTCCCCGACACCGACCTCGACCTTGGATCTCGGTCAGACCGCAGGAACCCGGCCGCGGCCCGCGGCCGCAGTGACCAAGGTCTCGTGGCCCCCGTCTCGCGTCGACCACTGCCCAGCGGCCCCCCGGCGACATCCAGAAGGTGTCGACGTGCGCCGGCCGAGCGCGCCCTGCGCCCCCGAGGCGCCAACTTCGGCACGCCGCGCGCGGCGCCGTCGCCGCGCCAGCGCCCGCGCCGCAGCCGCCACCCAGCGCCTCTAGGCGTCGGACGCATTTCCATTGTATAGTTGCCAGTCTTATTCATCGGAATAGTGATAAGTGTGAGGTGTGCGTTTACTCGAACTTGTGTTGTTACTGCTATGTTAGTGTATATATACATATAGATATATATATATATATATATATAAATAGATATATAAATTTAATATATATATATATAATATATATACACATGCTGTGGCATTATTATTCGACGTTTTAACCATAATCAAAAATTGAAAAAAATGTAGTGGCAGTGGTCAACTTAGTCTTCTTAGTATTCCGGTAGAGATATCGATGTGTTTTTTAAATCGTGAGTATGATTATTCTCATTACTCGTATCAATAGTCGGAAATTGGGGGGAGAGATCGAAGTAAAACGGAGGCCCCTCACCGGGAAATCGGTTTCGGTTTCGTGTTCGTGTCGTGCGTGCGGGCGAGGCGAAGCTGCGCGTGATCCTCCTGTAGCTAAGCCGAAGTAAGAACGAAAGTCCGTTCCCCGTCCGCCGGTGGCCGGGAAATGTCCCAATTGGGCCGGGCGGTGTCCCGGGTGTCCCGGGTGTCGGTAGGAACGAAAATCCGTTTCCCGTCCCGCCGGTGACCGGGAGGTGTCCCAGTTGGGCCGGGCGGTGTCCGGGGTGTCCCAGGCGTCCCGGCGCTAACGCATTTCGCTAATTTCATAGTTATTCTCTTGCACAGCTGTGCTCTAGAGCTCGGACATCCTTATTTTCGTTCGTTCGTGGTCGCCCCCCCCCCCCCCCCCCCCCCCCCCCCCCGGCGCCCCCCCAAGTGTTTCCGCAGGGCAGCTAGCCCCCCCCAAGTGTTTCCGAAGGGCAGCTAGGCAGCTCCCCTGGACCGCGGAACCCCCTATTCTCGTTCGTTCGTGGTCGTCCCCCTCCCCCCTCCCCCCCCAAGGGCTCCCCAGGGCAGCGCTCCCCAGGGCCCCCCGCCCCTAGAGCAGCATCCCCCCCCCACAGGGCTCCCCAGGGCAGCTCTCCAGGGTTTCCCAGGGCAGCTCCCCTGGACCGCGGAACTCTTTATTTTCGCTCGTTCGTCCCCCTCTCCCCTCCTCCCCAGGGCTCCCCAGGCCCCCCCCGCCCCTCCCCGGGCAGCGCAGGGCAGCTCCCCCGGGTTCCTCAGGGCAGCTCCCCAGGGCTGACCCCCGAGGCTTCCCAGGCCACCC